CCCAGTGACTGGAATTTATAGAATGCTTTTTATTTTCTTCTTGGTGTTTATTGAGATGATTATATAATTTTTCTCCTTAACTCTCTAATAAGGTCAATTATATTATTTCCTAATGTTAAGCCAATGTTGTAATCCTGGAGTAAACCTAACATAGTCATGACCTTTATATACATTTCCAGACTTGTCATGATCATTTTGCTTAGGACTTTGCATCTTTGTTCATGAGTGAAGAAAGCTCATAATTTTCCTTTTTCAGACTATCTGCATTATTTGGGTATTAAAGATATAAGCTCTGATGTAGGCCCTCTGTTTTTATTTTCAGGGAGTTTGTGTAATGTCGGAATTTTCTACCCTTGAACATTTAGTAGAAAATCCCAATAAAGTCACCTGAGCCTCCAGTTTTCTTTGTAGGGGACATTTTGACTATCCATGTAATTTATTTTAGTTATTAGACTACTTAGCGTTTCTATTTTTTCACTGGTTATTTTGGAAAGTTGTAATTTTTTCTAGGAATTTGTCTGTTTCCCTGGGATTTTCTGATTACTTGGAATGACATCTGTAATGCCTTGTTGTCTTTCTAACCTCTGCTGCATCCAAACTGCCTCCCCTTTTCCATTCTCCATTTGGTTCCTGATGCCGTCTCCTTTCCTCCTGATGTGCTTGCTGGAGATGAACTGGTCTAATTTCCTCTTCACTGGACCAACTTCATGCTCTCAGTATTCTGTCCTTGTTTTCCCTTTTAGTAATTTATACTCTGATATTTGTCATTGTCTTCTACTTTTTAAAGGATTTTGTTGGTGGTGTTATTTCTTTCCTAACACCTTGCAGTAACTGCTTAGCCTATTAATTTGCAGCTCTTATTAAGAGCACACAAAGCTGTAGAAGTCCTCTGTGCCATGGTGCCTGCAGCCCATGTGTCTGGATAGATAATATTCTTCTCTACTGGGTCCAGTTATCTTCTAATTGTCATTGTGATTTTTCCTTAGACCCTTGGATTATTTAGAAAGCAATGCTTATTTGTTTGTTTTAAATTTTAGTAAATATGAGGAGTTGAAGACTTCTAACTTAATTGTATTATCATTAAAAAAGACAGTGCGTAAAATATTCATCTTTTAAAATTTGCTGAGATTTGTTTCATAACCTGGAGTGTTCTTTTTTCTTCCTCACTATGTGCTTGAGAAGCATGTATGCTCCCTGTATTTGGTTTCTACTTGTGTCCATTTGATCAGGTTTGCCAAGTGTTGTTTAGTTGTTCTATGACCTTTAGTTGGTGATATTTACCAATTTTGAAAAATATGTATCAAAATCCCCCACCGTGAGGGCAATCTGTCCATTCCTCTCCAGAATTCTTTTAGTTTTGCTTTATTATTTATTCTTAAAGTCAATTTCTTCTAAGATATGTAGCTATATCACTTTGTGTTGTTAATTCTGGCTTAGTTTATCTTGTATTCTGTGATATTGCTTTCTGCATCCTTCTGTTACAGGTGTGAGTTTTCTGGTAAACAGCATATTTCTGTGTTTTTTGTTTATTTACAGACTGATAGTCTTTGCCCTTTAATTGTCCAAAATTATAGCCACCAGCTACAGGTAGCTATTGAGCACTTGAAATGGGCTGTAAGGACAAAATGTAGACCAGATTTTGAAAACTATGTGCAAAAAAAAAAAAAAAAAGATGTATATGAAGGATGTGTGTATAAAACTATATAAGGTATCTTATTTTGTATTGATTGTATGTTGAAATAGCATTTTGGACATATTGGGGTGAATCCTTCCATCTGTTTCCTCAAGATTTTACAATGCAGCTACTGAGCCCCTCTGCCAGTTGCCTGTCCCGTGGGACCCTACTGCTCCAAATCTTTTCCCTGGTCATGGTGGCTTTTGTGTGTGGATCCTTGCTGCCTTTTTTAGAGGAAGCTTTAGAATTTTTCTTTGTGGGGAGTTATTTTTGTGGGTATTTTGGTAATGAACTTTCAGTTTAAGTGTACTTATATATGGATCTATTTCTGTCTGAAAAAATCTTTATTCTATCCCTGTTTGAAAGACAGAACTCTGATCTGTTATTTTCTCTTAGCCTTGTGAGACTGTCGCTTTGCAGAAGTCAGCTGTTAATCTTGCAGGTAATCTGTCTTTTTTCTCTGCCTGCTTTTAATAAGGCTTTGTCTTTGAGAATTGGCAGTTTCACTGCAGTACCTTTATGTGTGGACTTATGTTTCTTTCTCCTGCTTCAATCTATGATATTTTCATCAGTTCAAGGAAATTAGCAATGTTCTCTCTTTTAATATTGTCTTGCCTCTTTCTCTCCAATCTTTTATTCATGAGGTTTTCATCTTTGCCTCTATAATCTCTCTTTATATTTTCAGCTCTATCCCCATGCTGAGGTCTGAGCATCACTGCCAGGAGTATTCTTCCCCACACAGCTTGGAGCCAAGGACAGGGCAGGCAGTGCCCTGGGTGGCAGTTTGGGCTTGGGTTGTAAGTTTAGTCTGCTGGGAATGTTGCCAGTTGGGTGGTGGGGTGTCTCCAGCCAGCTGATCCCCACACACACACCTGACCCTAAACCTGCCACACTCCTTCCCTAATGGGAGCATGCCACTCAGACCTGGGCAGGAGCTGGATGTCCTCCATTCTAATTTACTGTAGAAACTGGGGCTTTCTTAGTTTCTGGCCTCTGTTTGTTTTCCTTACTTTATTTGTAAGTCATCTATACTTTGATTTTTTTTCCTTTTTCTTATTTTTATACTATACCCAGCATTTTTATTTTTAGCTGTCCCAGTCTGGAAGGAGTTTCTCTGTTTCTCTGCACATCTAGCCAGCCATATGCCAGAAAGAAGACTTGATGCTGCTTTTACATCTGTTAAGATGATCATATTGTCTTTGCCATTACTGTTAACTTTGTGAATTATATTACCATATTTTCTAGTCTCATCTTATCTTTTTTTTTTTTTTTTTTTAAGAGAGAGTAAGAGGGGGACAGAGAGAGAGACAGAGGATTTCAACATTTTTTTTTTTCTTAGTTCTCGAGTTCTCGGCGGACACAACATCTTCCTTTGTATGTGGTGCTGAGGATCGAACCCGGGCCGCACGCACGCTAGGCGAGCGCGCTACCGCTTGAGCCACATCCCCAGCCCCATCTTATCCTTGATAAACCTGATTTGCTCATAAAGTGTTATGTCTTTTTCTATTTTGAAAATACATTATGGGATTTGATTTGTAATTCTTTAATTTAGAATCTTTCATATGTGTTCATAAATGAGATTATTTTATACATTTTTTCATATACATTAGTTTGTATAATCAAAATTATAATAGCTTCATAAAAGGAGTTAATAGATATTTTCCTCTCAGCTTTTTCTTTCTTTCTTTTTTTTTTTTTCTTTTTTTTTAACCCAAAGGCACTTTACCACTAAGCCAGCCTTTTTATTTTGAGACTCAGTCTCACTAAATTGCTGAGACAGTATTTGAACTTGTGATCCTGCCCCAGCCTCCCAAGCTGCTGAGATTACAGGCAAGCACCACCTTGCATGGCTTTCTCAGCTTTTTGAAGATATTCCATTATCTCTGATGTCCTGATTATTGTAGTAAATCTGCTTTCAGGCTGAATGTTATTGTTTTCTCCTTAGTGCTTTTTAAGATTTTTTTCTTTGTTTTTGCTGTTATTTCATTTCACTTGAATGTTGTCTGTTTATTTATTTGTGTTTATTTTCTACTTTGGAACCCATAGTTTTATGAACCCTTTAAAACTGGGTTCATAATGCCTTCACGTTTGGAAAATTCTCAGCCATTCTTTCTTTACCTACTTCCATTTGCCCCTTTCTTTGTTCTCTACTTCTGGAATTTCTACCACCGGTTGTTAGAACTTCTTATTCTATCCTTCATGGCTCTTAACTTCTCTTTCGTATTTTCTATTTCTTTATCTCCAGTGCTTTGCTCTAGGTTATGTCCCCAGATCCATTTTCCAATTCATGAATTTTCTCTTCAGCTGTGTTCAGACTGTTAAGCCATTTATTGAGTTTCTAATTTCCACAACTGCTTTTGTCATTTATAGAATTTATTTCACTCTTTTTCAAATCTACCTGTTTAAAAAGAATTTACTCTCCTTCCTTGGAGATTCTGCTCCTTCTTTTATTTCTTTGAATATTTTAGACATACTTATGTTACTATATCATTCAACCTATCCTTTTTTTTATGGTTCTTGAGAGCAAAATCTGCCAGTGACTCCCATGACTGTTTGGCTCCTCTTCTGGTCTGTAAGTTTTAATTTTTCCTCTAGTTTTAGTGTGTAGGGGACCCCTGTAGTCTGAATTGTAGAGGTAATCCCATGGGGCAGGTTTGCTCTTGCCTTTGCTGGGTTCTCCTGGGTTTCCATGACTCTCAGCACCTTTTCAGTGAGCTTCTCAGCATAGGGCACCTGCACTGTGTGGGTAGTATGAATTCTGTGTAGATGCTGAACTCCAGTGTCTTACGGGTCACTTCCCTCACACACCCTGGACAGGTGGACAGCTTCCTAGTAACTCCCTTTAGTGGTTAGAGTTTTTTTAGGCCCCATCTCACTTAGGACAGAGCCTTATAGATCCTGGCTGCCTGCAGCAGGTCAGCACCACATGGACATGAAAGCCCAGCCCCTAAGGCCTGTGTTCTATGAAAGCAACACTGTGGGGTCATTTGTCTTCTACAGCAACTCTTGACTGAACTCTTACTCATATATCTGAACTCTTTCTTTTGAGTCACTTAACCATGTATATGAGGGTTAAAGTTGGGGAGAAGAGGAATTTGAGGTTCAGTTTTATCTATCACTCCTGTGTTTTAAGTGAAAGCAGAACTTCCCAGAGCAGCTCAGACTTCCTCATGGACTAGCTCCAGTCCAAAGTCCCTACTTGCTATTGCCTTCCTTCCCATCAGACTCTTTGCTGTTGAACCTGTGTAAAGCCAATGTGTCCATTTCCTTGGCTGCATATTTATGAGCTCAGGGCCAAGGGACTTACACACTCTCCCTTTCCTAGGCTCTGGGCCCCCTGTTCCTGCCCCTGACCTTCTGATGCAGATCAAGCAGGAAGGCGAGCTCCAGCTACAGGAGCCACAGGCACTGGGCGTGGAGGCCTGGGCATCCGGGCAGCCAGATATTGGGGAGGAGCCCTGGGGCCTCAGCCAACTGGACTCTGGGACAGGAGACATCTCCACAGACGCTACCTCAGGTGAGTGGCTAAGACAGAGCAGTAGACACAGGAATGAGTTGTAGAAACTGGGGGAGGTTCCTGAGAGGCTGTGGGGGGCTATGGTCTCTCAGAACTTCTGGTCTGACTAGTATAGAAGTTTGCCTTCCTTGAGGAAGGGTCTGGATAAAGCATATCTCACAGGCCCTCTGGGGGTTTGTGACACTGTTCCTGAGTGTTCTTCTGGCCTAGCAGATTATCTAGGCCAACACATGCCTGCTTTTCCTGTCCCCAGCCTCAGGCAGTGACATCAACAGCTGCCTCTTGGAAAAGAGCTCCTTCTCAATGACATCTGAGCTTCCCCATGCTCTGACATCAGAGAGGCTGGGTTGTCATGATCATTCAGAAAAGTCCTTGTGGGGCTCTTGGGGTTTAGCTGCCTTCCCCTCCACAGTTTTCTTCTGCTCCCCGTACCCTTCCTGCCCCTGACCATGGCTCTGGTCTCTTCATTGCAGGCGTCCATTCCAACTTTCCAACCACTATCCCACCCACTTCCTGGCAAGCAGATCTCCCTCCCCACCATCCTTCATCAGCATGCTCAGACGGGACACTGAAGCTCAACACAGCAGCCTCCACAGAAGGTATGGGGGTGGCGAGAGAGGAGGCGGGTGCCTCCACTGGGAGCCCTGTTTTATTGGTGAGGTACCCTGACCTTTGGGTGTCTGTGATCTCATGACTTTTAATTCTGAATTCTGTTTTTTATCTCCTCCAAATGCTTAGGCTTGAGCAGTCTTTCCTGGCAGTATCCATGTATTAGACCATTCTCTTTCATGTGGTGTTAAGCAGTCTATTCTAATGTTCTGATTTCTTGAAGGACAGACCTCCTCTCCAGACTCACATGGGTCCTCTGGCATAGAAGCAAACAAAACAAAGCCAAAACCACTTCTTAGGTATTGGCCCTTCCAAAGACAGGTGTCTGAAGGCCAGAGTTGGGAGCATCACTTACCAAACTTATGTATTCGTTTTTTTCTTCTGTTATGCTACCTCAAGTTATAATTTCTGTCATCTTAGCACCCACCAAAATATGTTAAAAGCCAAGGTCCCTGGTATAAAACCTTGGAATGTGAAATTACAGTACCTTTATATACATTCCTACTCATTTTCTACTCATTCTCTAATATTCTCATCATTAACTGGGTGACTGCTTCTTGGATGTGTTATCTTGCTTAATCCCCTGACATCTGACATTCACAGAGGAGCTGCTGGTTGGAAACATGCCTGATGTCCACAGCTGGTACAAGCAGAGCCCAGTCTCAGATTTATCTAAACCTGTGCCTATGCCTTTGCACAGTAGTCTCCTTTGGTCAGAATTCCCTTTCTTAGGAAAGTTCATGATTAGCCTTAACAGCCAAAATGAAAACAAAAGCTGGGGGGCACATCTGGGGGTTGCCTTGCTGTGGCAAAGGCGCTAGGACACAGTGTCCTCTGGGTCATGATAGCCTCACCACCGTGGTGGAGTGCTCTGCAGAGTCTGGTCCTGAGGCTTGGCCAGGAGGGCCCAGAGTAGTGTCCCAAGGACTAAATAGCCGCTGTGCTTCTAAATGAAAGCATCAGATCCTTAATTCCTCAAGAGTAAGGGCCAAGATGATATGTGCCTTTCTGTCTTTCTCAGCAGATGTAAAAATTGTGATCAAAACAGAAGTCCAAGAGGAGGAGGTGGTGGCCACACCTGTGCATCCTACCGACTTGGAGGCCCATGGGACTCTATTTGCACCAGGCCAAGCCACAAGGTTTTTCCCTAGTCCTGTCCAAGAAGGAGCCTGGGAAAGCCAGGGTAGTTCCTTCCCTGGCCAGGACCCCGTGTTGGGGCTGCGTGAGCCAGCCAGGCCTGAGAGGGACATGGGAGAGCTCAGCCCTGCAGTGGCCCAGGAGGAGACCCCTGCGGGGGACTGGCTCTTTGGTGGGGTCCGGTGGGGCTGGAATTTCCGGTGTAAACCTCCGGTGGGCCTGAACCCAAGGACCGTGCCAGAGGGGCTGCCTTTCTCCTCTCCAGACAATGGAGAGGCCGTCCTGGATCCCAGCCAGGCCCCGAGACCCTTCAACGAGCCCTGTAAATACCCTGGCCGGACGAAAGGCTTCGGCCACAAACCCGGCCTGAAGAAGCACCCTGCAGCGCCCCCGGGAGGCCGGCCCTTCACCTGCGCCACCTGCGGGAAGAGCTTCCAGCTGCAGGTGAGCCTGAGCGCGCACCAACGCAGCTGCGGCCTGCCAGATGGCACGGGCACAGCCACCAGCACCGGCACGGGTGCGGGCACGGCCACCTCAGGGGGCGGCAGCGCGCGGGACGGCAGCGCCCTGCGGTGCGGGGAGTGCGGCCGCTGCTTCACGCGCCCCGCGCACCTCATCCGCCACCGCATGCTGCACACGGGCGAGCGGCCCTTCCCCTGCACCGAGTGCGAGAAGCGCTTCACAGAGCGCTCCAAGCTCATCGACCACTACCGAACGCACACAGGCGTGCGGCCCTTCACCTGCACCGTCTGCGGCAAGAGCTTCATCCGCAAGGACCACCTCCGCAAGCACCAGCGCAACCACGCCGCGGGGGCCAAGGCGCCGGGCCGCGGGCAGCCGCTCCCGCCCCTGCCCACCGGGCCCCCCGACCCCTTCAAGAGTCCCGCAGCCAAAGGACCCTTGGCTTCCACAGACCTCGTGACCGACTGGACTTGTGGCCTAAGCGTCCTAGGACCCACTGATGGTGGCGACCTGTGAACACCCCCACTACCATAGCCCCCGTGGGCTAAAATGTACAAAGTCCTGAGTGCAGACAGCAGGGTGGCGTTGAAAGCCTAGAGGCAGAGAGGGAGACTGGCAGAACCAAATTCCCACATTGCTGAACTGATCACTGGAACAAGAGGAACGCTCCACCTCTAGACACAGTAGGATTCTGATTGTGAAACTGCATACCGTAGTAGCATTTCAAGTAATTTAACTGCAAACCCGGTTTTTGTTCTTGTTTCTTTTTTAATTCTTGAGGGAAAAGCTGGAAAACAGTAGCAGCATCAGTTGAGATCCTGTCGTGCACTTTTGTTTTTCAGGGTGTGTGTCCGCCATGTCTCCCGAGTCTGATGGCGTGCTGGGAGGGTGGTTGGTGGGGTCCTGGAGGTGAGGAGGGCCCTGGATACCCCTGGCCCCAGGACTTCTAGGGATTGGTCTCCAGACAGCGCAGTCTGTGGGAGCTGACTCACCAGTCTGCCTGGGCAGCAGGTCTGGGCCTTGGACTCCTGGGCCTGGGCAAAGAAAGGTACAGGACCTGGAACCCCAGCTTCCACTCAGCAGGAAGGACCAGACCAGGAGAGTCAAGGCAGTGGTCAGCTTGCCTGCCTCTCTCGAAAGGCCCCTAAGCACTGGCCTGGCTTTTCCCTATTCTGCACCATGCCATCTGCAGTACTGTCCTAGAGCACTTGACAACATCCCCCAGGGACTCCTGGGCCCCATCAAGGAGAGCCATGTGGAGCTGTCAGGTCTGGAGGAGGTGAAGAGCCAAGGCTGAGCGTGGAGCCCTCACATCTGGTTATGCAGAGCCAGGCCTGGAGCCAGCCAGCCGCCCAGGCCCCAGATGCTTCTGGTGTGCTGCCCCTCCTATAGTGTCTCATTTCCAGAGTACTTGCACATCACATCTCACTTGATCATACCTGACTTTGGGAAGTAGCAGGACAGGTACTTGTTTCTTTATAGAAATGAGGAGATTCAAGGGGGGCATATCTCAGCCTCTCGCCATTGAATACACAATGTGTGCCAGGAGCCAGGAAGAGCCACAGCTGGGACACAGTTCCTCCTGAAGCCTTAGTTTAAGGGAGAAAAGGTTTTGGGTTTTGCCCTCTGAAAAGACTTGTCCCACACCCAGTGAGTCAGATCCTTAGGCCTCAGAGGAGTATCTGGCTCCGCAGCCTTGGAAAACCTGGCCTCTTTGGTGTGTGCGCTCATTCACACACTAGGGCTGCTCAGGAGGCAACCTGGGAGGCTGGTAACATGTGAGTGGCTTGCTCAGTCCCATCTCAAAAGTCTTCAAAGTGGAATTAGAAATGGGCCCAGATTTCTTGTCCACCGTAGTGCTATCCCCACCACACACATATCCATTCCTGGTTTTTGAAGCAGCCTTTGGTCCTCTTGCCCAAAAGGGTTCCTGCCTGTCTTTGCAAGGAAAGGCCATGGCATCCATTCATTCACTCTGTCCTGCATTTTATTAGGATAGACTAGTTAAGAAAAATGTTTATGTATTGTATATTTTGTACCTGTTTACACTTCTAATATTGATATAACTGATATTTTGAAAAATAAATGAACAGAAAACATCCTGTTAAAATAAAACCTAACCAGCACCAAGGCAGTTTGGTGGGTTCCATTCTTAGACCTGTGTCTTTGTTGCTAACCACGTCCCAAGGGGCTGTCTGTCCACTTTCTCAGCACCCTCCTTGTGCGCTTAGTCACCTTGAGCCCCCAAGAGGTAACTATCTTTGAGAACTAGGAATGGGAGGTCCCCGAGAAATTTGATTCCTTGGAGATAAACTGGCATTGGGAGGACAATCAAATCACACTGCATCAGAAAACAAATATGGCTTATGCAATTTAGTTTAATTTGACACTATACATGCAAATAAGAAGTCTAGGAGGAAAGATGCAGAATATCAAAGAAATAGATGTTGGCTATTTTGTCCTCATCTTTTCTTGGCTGGGAGGGAGGCAAAGGACAAGTAGTGTGCCTATGGTATAAACGTAGTCTCAGAATAAAGTCCCTCTAAGTGGCATTTAACTCAGGCTCCTACCGACCAGACTTGTTAACATCTTGTCTCCTGTCTTTGGTCTTTTTCATTTTGGTCATAGTTTTTTGTTTTGTTTGTATAGTGGTAGTCGGACAGCATGCCTTTATTGTTTAGTTTTTATGTGGTGCTAAGGATTGAACCCAGTGTTTCACACATGCCCAGGCAAGCTACAGCCTCAGCCCCATAGTTGTGTTTTGTTGTGTTTTTTTTTAAGAAAATGAAATGCAAAATTTTCTTTCATTTTTGTGCAAGAGTCAGATGCAAACATGATGGCCCTTCCAGCCATGGTGGAGCGGGGTTATACCAGCCGGACCCCTCTCCTGGCCCAACTCCCTTGTTGGACATGCCCTGTGCTTGGGCCGGCTGGGACTTGCCCTCCAAGTCTGCCTTGCTCCTCACACCCTCACCACTCTCCAGGTGCAGGAATCAATGTCATGCCCGGAAGCCCTGGTCTTGGTTCCCAAATGGAATCCTCAGTCTTGGGTTTGGGTTCACCTCACCACGTCAGAACTTCAGACATCCAGGAGGAGGTGGGAGATCAGGCCTTGCCAGGAGGGACTGTACTGCCCCACCATGGGGACCGCCAGCCCAGAGCACGGCCATTCTTCCTTGGTCCATCCGCCCCTGCTGTTAAACTGCCACACTCACTCAAATATGTCTTGTGGTTCCAGAGGTCAGAAGTCCAACTGAGTCTTTTGGAGCTAAAAATAGAGGTGTCAGTAAAGCTGTATTCCTGCTAGAATCTCCATGGGAGAATCTGCACCCTCATGTTTTCCAACTTTTCAAAGCCACCTGCATCCCTTAGCTCATGGCCCCTTACTCCAAAGGGAACCACAACAACTTCTGCTTGCCTTGCCGCATCCCCTTTTTCTGACTTTGCCTCCTTCTCATAAAGACCTTTTGATTACATTGATCCTGCCAAAATAATCTCTCCCTCTCAAGATCCTAGTTTTTCTTGGGGGAGAGGGGGATGCTAAGCAAACACTGAGCCACATCCCTGGCCTAACATAACTACATCTGCAAACTCCATTCTGCTATGTGAGGTAACACATTCACAGGCTCTGGGGATTCAGTGACATCTGTGGGGACTCCCAGTCATTCCTTCTCTCAGCAACCCTCTGTTATCTATCAAAAGATACTTATCTGCTGCCTGCCTTCTCTAAACATCTACCTTCGGTTTCTTACAATTTTGTTCTCTTATTCCTGATGCCTCCAAAGATGGCCCCATCCCTTCTCATTCTTCCCATTTTTAGGTGACAGCACTTCATCATTGTCACATTCACAGATGGATTGAGACAAGACGGGTCAAGCCACACTCCACCCCTTTCAATAGCATCAAGATCTCTATAAAGATCGTCCTGGCCACTTTCAGCTATGATTCTTCTCCATCCTCCGTTGGACATTCTTCCACATCACTGAAGGTTTGCAGGAGGCCTTGGAAAATCCTCAAGTCTATTGCTGTATCCCCTTGATCCCCCAATTCATCTTTCACACTGCCACAGGGTAACCTTTCTAACTAGGAAATCACATCACTATTGCTCTCTGATTTAAAGGCCTCCAAGAAATCTCCGACACCTGCTGGTTAAGATCCAAACTTCAGCACAGCACATCCAACCCCTCATAGGGGCTCCTTCCTGGTTCTTCCTTTCCACTCTCCATGTGCATCTCACTCTACACAATTGCAACCACCAGCTCTCCCCTGAGCACCATGCTGTTCCCACTGCAGACAATGTCCACCCTACCCTTAACCCTTGCCCAACTGGCACAGTCCACTTCCCACAGGTCTTAGTTCAAAGCACCACCCAGGTCCCTTGATCTCTCACATGAAACTGACACCTCCCCTGCTTTTCCCACTCCCCTGAGTCCTACTCAGACTCCAACTGTTGACTTGCCAGACCCTCCTTTACTTTGCATATGTCTGTAAAAGTAATCTGTTTAAAAATGAGGCACAGGGCTTAAAATTCATAAGGAGACCTTTATTCATTGGCAGATATATGGTGGAGTCCCTGATTCTGTTTTAATTGTCAAGTTTCTTTTAACCCAGAGCATTAAATGGTTTATACCTAACTATTTACCAACATTGAAAGCACATTTTAGACATTAAGTATACACACTTAAATATTTCTGTTTCATAAAAATTTTAGCCAAAGTCGGGCGCAGTGGTGAACGCCTGTAATCTCAGCAACTCTAGAGGCTGAGACAGAAGGATGGATGGCAAATTCAAAGCCAGCCTCAGCAATTTAGTGAGGCACTAAGCAACGCAGTGAAACCCTGTCTCTAAATAAAATACAAAATAGGGTTGGGGATGTGGCTCAGTAGTTGAGTGCCCCTGAGTTCAATCCTAGTACCCCCCCCAAAAAAAATGTAATAAATACAAAATCTGTGGATGATATGACTCAAACACTCCTGATACAAACATCTGTAAATTATGGATAGGATTTACTAAGCAAATTAAATACAAAAGTAAAAAGAAACAAAGGGAAAACCTATGTGCCTAAAATGAAGACAAACTGTAGGCCCACGTTGTAAATATAAGGAACTACTATGCCAACTGGGGTGGGGTAATAAGGGCATACAGGCCATGGGCACTCAAGATAAAGCCCTGGATGTCCTCTTGGTCAGCAAATGCAGGTTCAGAAGCACACATCCCAATGCCAAAAAGAAAATTTGAAGTTGGGTCCTCTGGGAAGCAGATGCTGAGACAGTCTGAAGTGCAAATGTGTCGGGAATGATGTTGTGGAAGATAACAACAGGAGGAAGCAGGATCACAAGCCAAATCTCCAGCCACAATATCTGTGAAAGGAAAGAGGCAAGGAAGCAGCCACCTGGCAAAGCTGCAGCCACCAGATGAAATTCTAGGGCAAATACTGCCCATGGGCAGCAATGACCAAGCCTCGGGCCTCTAGCCACTCAGTCCTTGGCTGGCGCTGCACAAAAAGAGCATGAAAACTGAAGCATTTCCCAGACTGTGGCCACCTGCACTCTGCAGCCAAATAGCCAATGCCTGGATTAAGATCCAATCGGTGTGACTGCACAGCTGCCACAGATGACAAAAGCCTGCCTGTCTGAGATTGGGCACCAGGCACTGGGCACTGGCCGTGGTGGGGGCCATATCTTCCTTGAGAACTCAAGGCCACAGCTAGTACCTCAGGTTTGGGCTCAAATTTACATTATCCACAGGGCTGATAAATTGGCATAAAAATTGTATAGAAGCCAATAATAGCACTTGAGGTTTCCGGCTGAAGCAAACTCAAAACCAGGAGGAATCATCCCACAATCCAGACCACAAGCCCTGCTCCACACAAACTCACAATCACACACCACACAACCACAGGAAACAACCCACCATTAATGAAAAGACAAATGCAGGATTACAAATCCAAGAACTCAAACTCATGTAAAGCTACTCCCAAAGAGAACAGACAGAACATGAATATGTTTATACTATATAAATCTAACAAGAGGCGTGAAGTGGTAGAAGCAACATGGAAAAAGCATTGTTAGTTGAAATGACCAAACCTTAAGAAAAGTCAAGATACTGTGAAAAAGAGAGTGCCATTTGAAAAAGAACCAGTGAAAATCCCAGAAATAAAAGGAAAGTCTCCAGGTGCAGTGGCACATGCCTATAATCCAAGCAGCTCGGGAGGCTGAGGCAGGAGGATCAAGAATTCAAAGCCAGCCTCAGCAACTTAGTGAGACCCTATCTCTAAATAAAAATTTTTTTTTTAAAAAGAGCTGGGGATGTATGTGTCTCAGTGGTACAATGCCCCTGGGTTCAATCCCCAGTACCAAAAAAAAAAAAAGAGAGAGTATAATAAAAAAAAAAAAAAAAAACGGTTAAAAAGGTTAAGAAAAAAAACTTACTGGCCTGGTTAAACAACATAACCAAATACAGTTGAAAAATAATTATGGCTGTCCATTGGTATCCACTGGGAAGCCCAACGAACCCCCATACCAAACCCTCAGATGATTAAGTGCCTTATATAAAACAACACAGTATTTACATACAAATTGTGCACATCCTCCTGTGTATTTAAAATCGTCTTGATTGCTTATAATGTATAATACAAAGTAAATAGTATACAAATAGTTGTTATGGTATATTTTTAAAGGAACAATGACAAGGAAAACAGTTTGTATATATTCAGTACAGATGCAATTTTCTTCAAATATTTTATATCCAAATCCACAAATACAGAGGTCTGATTGTAATTAAATCAAAGATAGATGAAAAAAGTACCCAGAATGAAGTACAGAGAAAGAAAACAATGGGTGGGAACTTGATATATTATAATCATAGACCAGGAACACTTACCATAAGTCTATCAAATCAGATGTTCTTAACTAGAAAGTGATTAGGAAATTAGGAGAAAAGAAATGTTTTTAAAAGAATGACTAACAAGTTTCAAGAATGGATAAAAGATATAAATCCTCAAACTCAAAATGCAAATGTCCTGAATAAGATAAATAAAAGTAAATCTACACATAAAAAATATGTGAAACTATAATACACTAAAAACAAAGAGGAAATCCTAAAAGCAGCTAGAGAAAATGATAAACAGACATC